TCAAGAGAAAATGTCTCCTAACAGTTCATTTCTTAAATGCCAGGTTTGTTTGAGCAATGAGGTCTTGCATGGTAGCTTTATTCAGCTAGCTACATAAACTTTATTAAGTGGATGTAGTTGCGTTACTTCCCTGATGTTGCTTGCTTTTAAAATTCAACCAAAATGTGTTTATGCATTTGTATAGCACTATACAAATGCATAAGCCGAAGCTATGCAGAGGGATAGAAAGATGGCGAGAGATAGAACATGTAAAACATATGAATACATATCATTGTGTATGGCATTTACACATAATTATTATGGAAATGGAACAAACAACAATTAGAAGCAAAAAACAAACAAGAGAAGAGTTGTTTCCCATGTTCACAGCTGTCTTGTTACATACAGTGGCTTGCAAAAGTATTTGACTCCCTTGAACTGGCAAGCTTTAATTGCAGCAAAGTATTGACTCAGGGGCTGAATAATTACGCACACCCCACTTTTCAGTTATTTATTTGTAAAAAATGTTTGGAATCATGTATGATTTTCGTTCCACTTCTCACGTGTACACCACTTTGTATTGGTCTTTCACGTGGAATTCCAATAAAATTGATTCATGGACCAGACTTTGTCAAAACAGAGGTAAAACTGTGGGAGTGAACTCTTTTATTCTGTTCTGCAATGACTAATCTTTAGACAATATGTTAAACCAGGGAACAACCCACTTGAAATATAAATAAACAAAAGGTTAAGAGGATCCTGCAGACATTGTTTGTTGATAATAAAAAGTTTTAGGCACTGTAATTTAAAGGAAATAACAGATGTGTCTCATCTTGGCACAGCTGTCCAGGAAGCTTGTTCCACAGGTGAGTACCATAAAAACTGCTTCACTTTTGTTTCGTTCTAAATATGGGAATGTGCATAAATGGTACGTTCCCTTTAACCTGAGAGTTCTGGGTGTTTTGTGAGGCACGAGTAGATTAAATGCTTCGTAAACTTGTACCAGTATTTTTAGGATCTGTCCTTTGACACACAAAAAAACCAGTGCAGAGATTTGAAAATAGAGTAATGTGCTCAAGATCAATAAAGATACTCTTATAATATTCTAATCTGTATCTACTTCAAACATGCATCCATTTTTAAAAAAATATTTTTTAATTTTTTTTATCTAGCTGTGAAAATCTAGGCCATAGTTCAGAATTATGCTAAGATTTCTGGTCTGGATTTAAGACTTAAGCATCTTTTATAGACCGGCTTTTATAGACTTTCGTTCTTTTTTTTTTCCTTTTTTCTTTTTCAATAAAAACAATTTCAGTCTTTTCTGAGTTCATTTTCAGGAATTTTTGGCATATCTACTCAATAATTTGTTTACTGCAACTTTTGTGAAAGTGTAGGGGACCATAGTCCTGAGGTAGCACCGATAGTTGTGTGTCATTGGGTGTTAGGACTTTTTGACCTGTCACTATTTAGATGAATATTGTTTATTACTTTAAAGACATCTAAACTGAACCTACTGCACAAAGTGACATCGGAATGATGTGTTGTTGTTGGGGTGTTGTTTTTCCGGTGTACAATTTTGGTCCAATGAAGAGGTTGTTTTGTAATGCCAGGTTACGTCTTTTTCTGACGTCTGCTTAACATCTAGTGTTGATATCCGTCCCTCTGTGTACAGGCTATTTATAGTCCAAATGCGGTCGTTGTCGATGTCTTTTCAATGTCAAACCTACTAATTTTTGACATCAATTTAATACTGCTTCTGGAGGCTCTGTAGTCCCATTTTTTAAGAGGCTGGAGGGCATGTTTTCTGTACAGTAACAGTAATGCACGAGGGAATGCTGAGTGATCAGTGGATGTCCCCAGCTTCTCACAGCTAATTTGCAAAATGTGTGCATCAACAAAGACTGTCAAGCAGGTAGTCCAGTTCATACATGCATACTTGTACAAACTTCTCGTACTTTCTGTTGCAACTTCTCTCAGTCCAGCTACCGATCACAACCACATTTATTTGCTCTTACAATCAGCTCTTCATAATAAAACAGGATACTTACAAAATGAACCATATATAATGCAAATGCTCTTTGAATCTTATTAAACACGTTGTAGTATGAATTCCAAAATTTATAATATTACATATATTAATCATATAAATTTCCTGTAGCTGTCATAGACGTCTACATGTCGACATTCAAACTAGGTCCACAATTTGGATGCCCAACCATGAATGTCGAATAGATGTCCAGAATAGCTCCTGGACCGACAGACCCAATATAGACATGAGCTGCATGTCTATCAGATGCCCAGTGTTTATTGGGAAAGGTATTAAAAAGAGTGTTACCCATTAAGAAATGGGTAGACAAAAATGGGTAGACAATGTAATGTAATTTTTTATTAAGAAAGCACCTTCTGATTCTACTGTCTGCAGAGATGGTAAAAAAAGACACCCTATTGTCAAAGAGAGCAGTATCGGCCACAGGCCTTTGGAAATAACTAGGTGTAGGATATGATACGAGTCTGAAATGATCCAGAATACACAAAAGTTCTTTGGTAATGCTATTGCTGTGTTGATCAATATGCATATTAAAAACACCAACTTAACAATGTTAAAGTCATGCCTAATGGCAATCTAGTCAATCCTTTTCACTTTATTTTGAGGGTCTATAAAACTGAAATTTGGAGGGGCTGTTTCAATAATAACCATTGTTTTTGTTTTACGAGGTTTTATTTAGGAACATAAAATCAAGATCATTTTTGGAAATAAAATCATTAAACAGGATGAGCTTGCCAGCCAGACTGGACCTTTAATAAAGCTAAATTTAGTTTAGTAGAAGCATTACCTAACACAGTCTGTGGCTGGCATATAATAGGAGTTATTAGATTAGATGTATTAGCTGTGTGCTTTGAGTACACTTGGTTTCTTCTATTGTTGTGTTTTTGCCATCAGCTATCTAGGTTCACCAGTATGTTTAGAGAAATAACATGGGAAATCTCATCAATGATACACTTCTGACTGCTGCCACGTGATGTATCTTTAATTTGGCATGTGTTAATAACATAGTAACACTGTGCAAACTGTGTAAATGAGAAAGGTAATAAACTGCAGAGAAAAAAATGAGACAATTTGATGGTCAGAGCAGTTTGAAGCAAATAGATGCTCTGCAGAATGCAGTAACATTCACTTAATCTAACTACTTTGTAATTTACAAACACATCAAACATCCCATGCAAATATCTATTTCTTTCATGTCTGATGCTTCATGTGTGCACTGTGTGTAAAGCAGTGAAGTGCAGTATGTGGGATGGTAGGGCGATCAGGGCGATTGTGGCTCAAGAGTTAGCAGTTCGTCTTGTAATTGGAAAGAGCCCCGGCTCCGACAGTCTTGGTCGTTGTGTCCTTGGGCAAGACACTTCACCCGTTGCCTACTGGTGGTGGTCAGAGGGCGCGGTGGCGCCAGTGTCCGGCAGCCTCGCTTCTGTCAGTGCGCCCCAGGGTGGCTGTGGCTACAATGTAGCTTGCCATCACCAGTGTGTGAATGGGTGGATGACTGGATGTGTAAAGCACTTTGGGGTCCTTAGGCACTGGTAAAGCGCTATACAAACACAGGCCATTTACCAGGGTAAATCCAATCAGCCATAGTTCAAGGAGGTAGATGCATTAGTTTAGAGGAAAAATGCTGCACCACAAAAAGCACTGACAGATTGAGCTGAAATGAATAGTTATGGGATTGTGACTTTGCTAGACAGAAAAAAACATCATGATGCTGGAAAGCATTACACTGTATACAGAGGGTGATCCCTCTGTATACAGTGTAATGCTTGGCTTTTTGGGAAAGACACCAATTTTACCACCAAGCTCTACATGAAATATTTTGTCCTCTGTGGCTGCAGACAGCTTTGGATCCTCTTGTGTTCTCGGTTATGCATTTTTCTCATAAAGGTCAAATTAAATGACCTGGTAGCATTTCCGATGGATTCTTGAGGGGTTTTTTCTTTCTTGTGTCTTGGAAGCACTGGGTGCTGGTCATGCGTAGGGCAGAGATAGGACTTGTACACAGTATAGTCATAGCCTCAGGCTACTCTCTCCTTCTGGTACAACCATTCTAAGCAGATAATACATAGGAAACAAAAGTTATTTAGTAATTGAGCATTGATTATACTGTGCTGTACACATGGACAGATGAAGACTCAATGGCCAAGCAGTCACTTCTTAAAATTCCGTTGTCTCTACAGACAAGTCAGTGTCGTCACAAAAATCATTATAATTATTAAGATTATTATAAAATGGCAAGGTTTATAATAACACAAAGCTTTATATTTGACAGTGATTATCCAAATGTAATTAATTTCTTCGTGAATGATATTAAATGAAGATGTGCACAGTCTTTGGTACACCTCAAAGAAATGTTTTTAATTAATTAGCACAATGAAGGTGGCTGTTTGTTGAATCACTTGTTGTGACAATCCATTAGCACAGTGTCTAAATCCCAACTGACTGCAGGTAAGATCAGACACAATGAGTCATTGTGATTGAGATTCATTCTCACAGATATTTCAGTTTGACTGAGGTGCATTTTGAAGCTAAGGTGAACAAGTGTTTCTCACTGATTGTAGTGAACATTTTGTTTGTTTTTAATTAAATCTTCCAATCTTTATTTCTTTTATACAGCAGCTCAATATTTTGTAAAGACCTGACCCAAAATCGATTAAAGCTATTGATTTGGTACTCTCGTGAATTTCCCACGAGTACCATGCTGTTGGCTTTTGTGATTCTGGTGGAAGTTTATTGGCTCAAAACTTCATGTACCTTGCAATCACCTTTAAGATTTCCTCACTTTTAAGTGAGTGTTTTTTCAAGAACAATCAGCATTAAAGACTAAGATCATATAATATTGTTTTCTGTACTTTTATGACTGCCTGTTGTTGCAATTTATTGTATTATAAACTGTATAAATGTTTATTGCCCTCTTGAGCCAGTTACATCCTACCCCCACTGCCTCACGCCTCCACATCTCTGTCTTTCTCAGGTATAGTTTCGCTGATCTCTCTGGTGATCCTCTCCTATGACCGCTACAGCACCCTTACTGTTTACAACAAGCGTGGGCCAGACTACCGTAAGCCCCTAATAGCCGTTGGGGGCTCTTGGCTGTACTCCTTGTTCTGGACAGTGCCCCCCCTACTGGGCTGGAGCAGCTATGGCATAGAGGGGGCAGGAACAAGCTGTTCTGTGTCCTGGACTGCTAACAGTGCCCAATCGCACGCCTACATCATCTGCCTCTTCATTTTCTGCTTGGGTCTGCCTGTCATAGTGATGATCTACTGCTACAGCAGATTGCTTTGGGCAGTCAAACAGGTACACACACTAGCTGTCAGACACTGACACTTAGTCACACATTAACTGCATACATGTGAATGTCTATGCTGTTTTTTCTTTTAGGAATAAGGTGTCAAAAATAAAGCTACAAGTTGCTTAGAGTGATTTTGCACCTTTGAACACCAAACACTGCAGATGTCAAACATGGCCGAAAAGAGCTTTTTTGCTTTTTAATAACTGACAAAGGTGACAAAGCTTCAGAGCTTCATATGAACAGATCTCTGCTAAGATAAAACTAACATGTAAGACAGAGGAAGGGGTAGGTTTTGTGCACTGGACAACTGGATAGATTTTGAACTTTTAGCTTTTGACTGTATTATCATAAGTCTTTGTAGGGTTATCAACTTTTCTCCGAGGACCCACTGGGTCATCTAATCTGTCGTGTCCCAGCAGGGCTATTTTCAGAAATAAATGTCCCCAGCGTGAAATGCATGTAAGGTCAATAAAGTTGTTGTAATCAACCATCAAATATTCAGATCTGCCCATTCTTTTATTTTTGCTGACTTAAAGAAAGAAAAATAAAAGCTAGCTGATGTATTTACCCGTCAACAAAACTGTTTAGTTTTTCTGAACAGTATAAATTTCTAGTAAATTTAAAATAGAGCAGCACTGCAAACAAAAGTCTTCTGATTTTTACTGCACATTGATCTATTTGCATGAAACTTGCTGAAAATCTAGAATACACCTGAAAACATTTAGCCTTTCCCATTTGTTCTGTTCATGTGGTATCACATTGGAAAGGTAAACGTTTTTCTGTCAGTCCTATTTAAAATCCTGACATGTTCCACATCCATCTGAGATATCTCTCAGACAGAAGTTATAAAATCTGACAGATGACATAATCTGACATCAATGAGATTTTCTGCAAAGCTACAATGAAGTTTGATTGAAGAAGTTTCTGGCTAAATACATCAACAGTACATGTCAGATTTGGTTGACAGTCTATAAATCAAGGCGATATCTATCCCATCAAAGTTAAAGCTACTCCACTCAGCTAATGGAACAGAGCAGTGCTGCTAGAAGATACGTTCCCACCACAGTCATATTCATAGAACACAGATGTTTATGATGAGTTTACTGATGAGTTGCAATATATTCATGCCTTCTGCTCATTTACATAAAAATAAAAGCAAAGAAAAGTAACACGGTTTGTGGGGAATCAGTCAACCAACCACAGTTTCTTTGGTGATTGGTTCATGGGTATTTTTTTTTCTATTTTTAAGTGAGTGACTTCACTTGTCTTGGGTAAATAAATAAAAGATGTTCCACTCCCGTTGCTTTAGATTTATTCCTGAGAGCAACAGGAGGGTAGCAGAGGATTATCACAGCATTATGACTCAGACAAAGCCTAAGCTACTCAACCATCTTCTTGGGTTTGTTTTAGGTTGCTTTAATATAGTGGATTTAAAGCACTTCAGGAACTCAGACTGACCCCCTGGTATCAATAAGCAGCTTTTTTTCAAATCCCCTCCAAGTATAATTATCTATGTTTGGATCATATGAGATAAACTGGTTTTATTTCAGTTTCATTACTTTTGTTTAACTTTAAATAAGCTGTTAAGTTCATAACATTTTACACACTGACCTTCCTTTGTCAGGACACCAGTTTCCAGCTTAATAAGTTCAGGTTGCATTAAATCAAAGAGTGCATCTAACTTTATACAGTTTGGCTGATGCTTTATTGCTGAACTAAACCAGGCAACTCTGTGTTGGTGCTGATAAGGTGATGCAATGGGATCTCCATGCATACGGTTTAAAAAGAAAATTATGTAGTTTTACAATACATACTCATAAAAAGTTGTGACATGTAACATATCCATCCATTAATTTTCTGCCACTTATCTGAGTTTGTGTAAAGAGAGCAGCAGTCTAAGAAGAGATGCCCATACCTCCCCTCTGTCTATCCATCTAAGCTAAGAGATGTAAACTTGTTTCTGTCTTACAGCTTGTGGTAATAGGTGAAGGTAGGGATGTAGATTTACAGGTACATCAATAGTGATCTCATTCCAGCCACTTCACACTGCAAACTAGCCCAGCGCAAGCTGTAGGTCCCCACTCAGTAAAGCTAATAGAACTACATCATTTGCAAAAAGCAGAGACGAGATCCTGAAACCAACCTGACACCCCAAGTCCCTTGACTGCACCTGGAAATTCTGTACATAAATACAGATAAAATCTATGAAAAAGTCAAACACCCACAGACAGCAATTTTGACTTCTAACCACCTGTGCAAGCCAAGCTCAGAGTACAGATGAACAGGGATTGGATGGCCCACAGCATTGTCTGATACCCCATACTCACAAAGCACTCCCACGAGACTTGATCAAATGAGTTCCCCAAGTTCAGAAAACACAGTTAGCCAGTGTTTATGTGTTCGAGACAAATCTCCAATGCTCCTCTTGGAGTGAGGTTTGATGACTGGACGTACTCTCCTCCCTAGCAGTAGTATGATCAGCTGATTTCAGTTTGTATGCCAGAGTAGAAACATAGTGCCGCAGTCTGCAGTGTGGATATGGACATTTTATTTATATTTTATTGAACAAAGCATGAAAGTGCAAAGGTAAAGTGGAAACGGCATTGAAGACAGGCAAGCACAGACAGCACGCTAAGCTAGCCAATAGCGCAGAGTGACATTAAAGTTGTGTGAGCTGTGTCAGTCCAGTGACCAGACTGTGAACTTCAACAGGTAACAAACTGAGGAGCAGTTAGGCTGCAGCCTCCATCTCAGGATTATATTGTTAAATGGTAATTATGAGACACTCTTTTTCAGGTCATTTTACAGACAAAAGTAATGCAATGAGTAGTATAACTATTAACTATAGCATATTACTTTCTCCTAGCAGTAACTAACTACATTAAAAAGTAAAACATACATCAGTACTTTATGAAAAATATTCTGTGTAACATGTGTAACAAATTACTTTTTTTGAGTAATGACCCAATACTGATTACAACAAAGATGTGATCAGTGCATGTTGAAAAACCTCCAACATGCACAAATATTTGACTACAGAGCATGCAGTTTATTTGCACAAAAGTAATGTTTTAAAGTGGAGCCAATGAGAACTCACTGAGAATTGACAAGGAATCTAATCCATAAGTGATATTGATAATGGAATTGGAATCTCTAAATTCTTTTCAAGGCTCAGGAAGACTTCAGAAATCTATCGTCACTGAACAAAGTTCAACACAAATGAAAGCTTTGCCATGCAAAGAAAAAACAACAACAAAAAAACAAAGCCCATTTAGTGAAGCTGTAGTCAGATGAATTAAAATGTAATTTTTTAATGGAAAAACATCAATATTCATCAATAGTGTTATCAAAAAAGGAGGTCAGGTACTGTCATGAAACTTACTCCTCCAGGCTTTTATTGTCCTTATGTCCTGCCAAAGTTTCAAGATGTTGAAAAGTCTATGTTGTGTTTTTGTGTTGCTCATTAACATATTAAAGATTTCATGCAAAAAACACAAGGCTAAAATGACACATATTGGACAAAGGAATCAGTTAAAAGCTGAAACATACTGAGGGGAAAGCAGGTGGGCATCAGGCGGAAGCACAAGACACTCTAGCTCCTTGTTGATGTAATTTCCTAATCGCATCCAGAAGACAGATATTAACATTGGATCAGTCAAACTAGACAGACCCCAGAGCTGTTTCACTATATAAGAGGAAAAAAATCACAAACATATACTAAATGTTCCTAACTAGTAGTCATCATATGGTGTACAGTGGGGTGGCCAAGCAGTTTGGCAATACCAACTATAGTGTCTTCTAAAGTTGTTGCTTCAGTAGTACACAATTTCCTCACTGTGTTAACTGTTTGGTATGCAATCCTCACAGCAGGTTTCTGGCAGAGGTAGAAAGCTAGCTAACACTTTGATATTTCAATAAAACTATAAGTCCTTGATTACTTTGAAACTTTACAATGTTTAATGAAGAATTACCACAAAAATAAAACTGAATACAGAAAAAAACCCCACATATTACTATATGTACACATATTACTATATGTACACTGTAATGTTAATGTTAATAAAAACTTGTGAGTGCTCTACTTTTTCAGTAACAGTTAACAGGCTAGCTTACCAAGGATAGCACCTTCAAATTAGCTTTGTTAAATTAGACAAAAACAAAAACATCAGAAAACTGCCAAACACTATAAAATACACTCAAAACTAGGCAGAAATAATAAATGAACTACTTACTGAAATATGTGTCCAAGTCACAAGTGTTAAAAAAAACACCATGTGCATCACTCCCTTTGCTCTAGCTAACTTCCTGCAAAGAGAAGCTACATTTCAGCACATATAAATCTAGTCACATAATCACGAATTCAAATTAGAATATGTTTCATTACACCTTTAACAATCGACCAGCAGCGTTGGAGTGATAAGGAGATATATGGCTTTTTCACTTACGCAGTGCTTGTGCCAGTGCCCAATCTAGACTTCCGTGCATTTCCACTAAATGACGACTGGCAGACAGCTCACCACAATTTTATTCCCCACACAAATTATCCCAACTTCTGCTTGTAATCCTAAATAATCCTCAGTTGTCAAACCTGTCAAAGTTTGCATGGTTCTCACCACTCAATAAGGAGGAACTAGGTCCACACCAGTACTGACACTGTGTTGGTGGAAAAGAGGTATATGAGTACTCACCCTTGCTATTAATTTTAATCAGTGGGCTCTCATGGGATTGAAAATTAAATGGTTGCACCCAGAAAACTATAATTATAAAAGAGACATTTTCAAACACTTGCCAATATATCTAAAAATATGTCAGGATCATTCACCAGTCTATCACATAGAGACAAACAACCATTTGCACTCACATTCACAGGTAATTTAGAATCACCAATTAACCTAACCGAACTCTAATGACTGCATGACTTTTAACTGTGGGAGGAAACCAGAATACCCAGATTGTGGATTTGAACCTAGGACCTTCTTGCTGTGAGGCAACAGCACTAATCACCATGCCACCAATCCAAGGCTAACAAAGCTAGGAAAGCTATGATTTCTAAGGCTTGATTTTTGTATGTTTTTGTCCATGACAGGTTAAACCACAATAAATAGCAAAAGCATACACGTGGGTGTGTGTGTAGTTGTCTGCCTCTTATAACTCCAGTGATTTTCCTGCAGTTTGAAATCTCCTGCGATCTTGTGAATTTCATGAGTCCAGCAACTAACCACTCTTACTAGATTGTATCATGTCATCTCAACAAGAACAAATTAAGTTGTTGAATTTCATACAGATCCTACATGATTTAATTACGTTCAAGATAGAAACATGAAATTTTTGTGTTCAAATTACAAGGTAGACTTTATTAATGTAACAACCACCCAATTTACTTTTTTCGGTATACCGAGCATGAGGCAATTGTGTTAAATACACGCAAGATGTTTACATAAACCCAAGAGATGGCCAGTCACTTTTCTTCAGTGTAAGATTTGTGATGACTCATGAGCCAGGTGAGCTACTGCTGCATTTTGTTTGTGATTACTACATGAGAGCAGTGAAAAAGAAGTGATTTTAATGTTTCTTAGATATAAGGCACACTTCAGGAAATTCAAATCAAAATTTTCCAGAAATATTTTTTTTCCTCTCTCTGTTCCGTTATTCGCAGGTGGGTAAGATCCGAAAGACTGCAGCCCGGAGGAGGGAGTACCACATTCTGTTCATGGTGCTGACCACTGCAGCCTGCTACCTGCTGTGCTGGATGCCTTATGGTGTCGTGGCAATGATGGCAACATTTGGCCCACCCAACATCATTAGCCCTGTGGCCAGTGTAGTTCCCTCACTGCTTGCCAAGAGCAGTACCGTCATCAACCCCCTCATCTATATACTTATGAACAAACAGGTAAGTCGCTATTATGTGCATGTGCGTGTCTTACCTAAAATCAAGAGTTATAATTCTGAAAAATAGATTTGAACATGTACAACAGCTTTATTTACACAGTAGAAAAAGACAAACAACAGCTGAAATCATAGAACTGCTTGATTTAAATATCAATTCAAGTGTAATATTAAGAGATTTCACTGACCAAAGAGAAATAAAAAAAAATCAAGAACAATGCCCTAAGGCTCTTAAAAGGGAAACAGAACAATCACTCTCATTACTCACTCCTTTCCTCTTCCTCATCTGAAGAATACTGCAAAAAGGTAGCTATAGAAAGAACAAATGTTAAACAATTCTTCAGAGGCAGTGTGGTACAGAAATCCCCACAACACTTGTTAAAAACTCGACATGAAAAATAGGCCTCGAGAGTAAAGAGCAGACAGAAAGAGGCTCGAAGTGGTAAATGTTACACGCATGTCTTCAAACATATTTTTCAACTCACTACTTCACAACCAAAGAACGTTAATGTCAAGTTTGACTACAATGTCCCATCTTAAAAAGAATACAAAATTCAGTTAAGCTCGACTTTTGCAGAAAGAAGCACCTAAGAAGTCCTACTGTTACTCTGAGTCCTCATCCCATGAATAACCCACCCAAACTGGAACACAATTAAAGATGGGATTTGGCACAATATTAAAGATGCAAAGATGAAGTAGCCAGAAGGCATTGCACCTGATCAAGCACTTCCATGGAGCGGCTGATAGCCGCACTGCAGATGAATGTGATCCACAAGCATGCAATAAAATCTGCAAAACATCACTTCAGTAAAAGAAAACCTTGCAAGCACGAATGCCTTTCACAACATTAAAGACAATGGTGCCTACTTGCATCACAGTACAGCACAGACAGTTTAAGACCTAGCCCTGCTCCTGAATTGCATGCTCTGTGCATTGGAAAGTAACCTGTTACTACAATGCACACGTACAATACGTTCAGGGCTTTCACACCTTCAGTGTGCTACAATCACAAGCATATTTTATCGTTTATCGCAATTATAAGACGTACAGCAGAGCGAAAAAACCTGCATTGTTTAAAATGAATCATAAGTCCTTTATTAAGCATCTAAACTACCTCCTCTATACATTAAAATCTCTGTTACAGTCAAGATTGGGTGTACTGCAGAGTACAAAGTTATGCGTTACTGAAATCGCATTACATTTGTCACTATTGCTGTAATGTTTGGCATTACTGAGCTAATTCAGTAATAACATTACAAATAAAACAACAAGTTGTTAATCACATTACAAACGTTCTTCATTTTTTTGAGCAAATAGGGAGAAAAACCCAACAAAAACGACAAAAATGCCTTTTCACGTGTGCTCATGTGTGGGAACAAAAACGGCAGAGTGTAGAGGTGTGCGCAGATTTCCTAAATTATTGCACAAAGGGACATGGATGTGATGGTGAAGGGCAAACTGTGGCCAGGCTAGAGACCGATATCCACTGCTGCAAACATGGAATCAAACCCCAACAAGCACCTGCAAAGGCAAACATGCTAACACAAAGATAACAGTGAACGGTGCTTCCGGAGTGTAAACGGCGACCTGGACGGAGCAACTAAGACTCGATTTCTAGCAGGCACAGATGAACACACTCGTAGCATCGCACAAAGAAATGTTGCTTGTTTCTACAGAACAATCACTGGCGCCTCATTTATTTGTGCTCGGTTGATATTCACCAACTCTGTCAGCTTCGGAGCTCTAAGAGAAAGATCACGTCCTCCATATAGTAATCACGTGTAGTTGTTAGGTATGTGGGCGTAAGATTTTATGTTACATTGTTAACTAGAAATTAGGGGGATATTGTGCATCAACTCAAAATTAAAGTGGGAGATTTGAAAAAAATAAAATACATAACATTTTTGCAAAATGATCCAAATATTTGTCATACACCTGCTACAGCTACTAATTTAATTAATTGAAACGTCGAATGACTTGTCTGGACAAAAAGCAAGTACTTATGGGGGTTTGGAAAAGAAATGTGTCCACAGCAAAACTTCAAAATATTTTTATAAAACTTCAACTGAGTCAGCTACACGAGTGCAAGAAAAAGCTCTAGTGAGAATGAGCAAATTCTTGATTTTTTGATTTCCCTTTATGTGAAGCAGTACGTTTGTCATCCATGTAATTTACTGAATTGCCATCTGATTATTAAATCTGGTAAACATAAATGCATAATATCAAAATTTACAGTACATAAATACTTTAATAAAAAAAAAAAACACCAGTGGTAGTAACTGGTCTTAAACATGGTTAAAATAAGGATCCATGCTCATGTCTTTAGCTGTCTAAGTCGTAAAAGATGTTTCTTTTTTCAGGAGGGGGTTAAAAAAAGCTTATGTCCTTTGGTAAATACTGACAAATTCCAGATATTATCCAGCTCCTGTTAACACCAGCTGTTATCTAAATGATACTATGCTCTAGTGTTTCTACTGAAGAGCGACATCATTCTATTTAAAGCAACATTTCTATTATGTTTTCATATCTTTCAACAAACCACAACGAATGGCACAAGATCAATCTGTTACAAAGAAAAAAAGATGCTCTCATTCCCACAGACCGAATACCTCGAGCTCGCTGAAGACACGGCACTCTGTAAACATAAAATCCCCCCTACCTTGGAGACAAAGTAAATCCGAGGTTAGTACAGGTCCAAATTCCTTTTTCATAATTGTCTCTACTCTGAGCTGCGGGTAGGCACAGACTAATACCAGAGGATTCAGAAAATATGAGACATTTATAGTTGTAGGGAATGCACTTCATGCTGTTACGCAATAAAGAAATAACCCCACAGAGATGAGCTCCAGCAAGGGTTTGGCCACAACACGCAGTGTTAAAATTACATTCAATAGAGAGTGAACTGACCGTCACAAACAGGGGCTGGTGATTGCTGAGGCAGAGCGGAGGATCCCCTGATGTTCATCACTTCGGAAAGTCTACTGCTCCACACATCGAACTGATTGGTACTGCAGTCCTGCTAGAGTGTGTACTGCATGTGTCTGAACAGTCACAAGGCAACCCGAGGAAAGTGTTCAGCTGACTGCTAGGCACAGGGTCACGGCTGTTCTGAGTACCTGTTTGTTCTGTTTTGGCCCAGTTTACTCTGATTTAAGTACACAAATGCCCCCCCCCCCAAACAAAATGTGACAAACTGGTGGTTATCAGTCAGCGTGCACAGAACAATAATTCAGTAATAAGCTCAGTAGTATGAAATCAACCCCTCATTATGATGATTTTGCAGGAATATGTACAGTAACGTGATAGCTTTGACAGCTCCTCTCATCTTTCTTTTAGTTTGCATTCTTCTGCATGTACTTTTGTGTCGAGTTTGTGTACCTATGACATTCAACATGGATGATTTGTTTATTCACAACCCTTTGGACCAGTATATATATATATATAAAAAAAATAATTATACAATTCGCCGTTATAAAGAGTGACAGTTCCTTAAAGTGGAAAACCATCCATAGTACTGAGAAACACAGATTTTACATCACTGGAAACACACCCAGTTATTAAAAACTCACTTGCCTACCTAAAACAAGATCAGTTGCTACCCTAGTCAGCTCCACAGCTAACGTGGCTCAGCTAAAGCAGAGAGAAATTTGATATTATATTTTATTTTTTTCAGCTCCACCCTGGAGACTCTAATTTCCAGCCTGTGGTCAAGTATACCATCGTAATAAAGACAAGGTCTTTCAGAAACCTCTATGTTTATCCGTCCCTGGAGGGCTATGGCTTATGCTCTTCACGGGTTTTATTTGAAACTTGCAAGCTTCAACCTCCTTGTCCATAGGGGCATTATTGCACCTCTCCCATGGTCAGCCTGAAAAGGCCAGAAGTGTGTGCGTGTTCGTGTGTGTGACGTCCGGGCTCATGAGGCCAGGCTTCATATATCAGATGTCACAGTTCACGGTGCTGAAGCCTGGAAGAGTGACGCGTCCTTTCCTCTCGAGGTCACTCACGGGGCCCATGTTGATTCGCTGGATCAGGCTTTTCTCATAGAGGAGAGGATGGTAGGCACCCAGTGTGCACGCAGCGTCATAGTAGGTCTCGTGGTAGTGGCACAGGTCCGTCTGCCTCATGGAGGGAATGTACTCGTACACGTGCACCTGCTCGCACAGCGCCATCATCAGGAGGATACCTGCAATGTCAGCATACAGGAGAAAATAAATATTTTCACATAACACTTGCCAACTAAATTAGAGTTCAACTTTTTAGCCAAACATTTCATAAAAACAACACATATACTTATAAAATACAACGCTAAAACCTTCTGTTCCTGTCTTTTATTCTCTCTTTTTTTTCAAGGCAATAGTCCCAGGACCACTGTCAAAACACACATTCACACCTGGAAGCAATCTGGTAAAACCAAAATCTAAACTTATGTCCAAAGAGAAGTTAATGACATCCATTTTATTTTATCTGCTCCGGGGATCAAAGTAGAGACGTTACAAACCCGTCGTGACATTCACAAAACGGAAACTCTTAAAGCCGGCAGATAAGGTAAATCCTTTCAGTTTTCGTAAAGGTCGCTATCAGCGTGGGCTGATAATAAATACACGGCCTGGTGGGAAACATCTGATTATCAAAGGTGTGCGAGCCTTTCGGGCATTTGATACGTCTTTGGAAAAGGAATTTAGCACAAACTTGACAAATTTCTATTAGATCTGAAAATGTGCAAAGAGACTAAATGTGAAGCTCAACTGTGCTGAAAGAGGGGAGGAGAAAACTATAATATATGTGAATAATATATGAAGACTTCGACTTTGCCTGCTTCAGCAAGTTCTGGATTTTTCTGTGAAATGCAACTAAAACAAAAAACAGTGACCTCACACATATATTTTAACAAGGACTCTTCAGTCAGAGAGAATAATTATCCCTTCCACAGTAATTATATTTGTTGGTATGGCTGGTGATATGTTCTGAGACCTCTCCACTCCCCCATTGTGCAAAACCTGAAGTGGGGAGAGCTGCAGCAAGACCTCCAACAGTAAGGTACCAACAGATGAGCTGCCACCATGACTGAGGGCTAAGTTTGACTCCGTGGTCTGTGGCATTATTAGAATTCTATATTCCCCCTAAATGGCCTGTATTTATATAGTGCTTTACTAGTCCCTAAGGACCCCAAAGCGCTTTACATATCCAGTCATCCACCCATTCATCCACACATTCACACACTGGTGATGGCAAGCTACATTGTAGCCACATCCACCCTGGGGCGCACTGACAGAGGCTAACAACTGTATTCCACTAATATGAAGGCAAAGCTGAAAAACACGAGTTACTGATGACAGATTTGTAATTTGGATGGATGAGTCACTTCCACAAGATCCTAAGGATGTCATAAGACCCTAACAAGTTCTGTGCTATAGACCTCCAAAGAAATGAAGCGCCAAGTGCTGGAGGTAACCTGCTTTACCACGACAACAGATCCTTTTCTTTTCCCAAGCATCACTTCGTTTTCAATTTGGGAACATTAAAGGAATTATTTACAGTTAGATTACACATAGAGTTTATGTAAAGGCATATTTGTGCAGCAAAAAAAAAAAAAGAAGGAGAATGCTTGGAGAAAATTTGGCAACATCATAAATGAGTTCTCAATCATACTGAAGTTCTCCTTCTAGTGGCTCTCTGGTATAGTGTTTTAGAAAAAGTCCAAAGGGGGTTACAACTAGTGTACTCCTGCTGTCAGTCCCCAGCCTGGATAAATAAGGCGGTTGTTGTCAGGAAGAGTATGAAAGGATATAAAATCTTTGCCAAATCAAAATATGCAGATCCAGTCGCCATGGAGATTCTTTGGGAAATAAGAGAGCAGCTAAAAGTGCCTTCTTCTATTTGCAGTTTTGCTTCTGGTGTTGGCTAAAAAATATTTGCGGTTTCCAAAAAGCAAACCAACAGTTTCGGTGAGTCTGAACACACCATTAGGCCATTTTCATTTGCATATGCAGTCCAGTCTTGAACTGTTCAAGACCTTAAAACAATGGAGAACACAGATATCTAACAGACTGAGAGCAAATGCTGAATGCTCTTTAACCTGCCACTGACCCAGAGTGCAAAGCAGAAAAAAGTCCGATGTTCGATTTTACCCCTGACAGAATACTGTGGCCAATAAATTTACAGCCACCAAGTGAACTTTTGGATACGCTACCCTGCATACTTATCCAGACAGCACCATTTCCCTATGCAAATAATTTTTTCTTTACTATGTGTGAGAAATGCTTCAGTTCAGTTTACTGTTTGTAAAACACCTTCACCTGCTTGTGAGTGTGCAGTGATTCCACTATTTTCCTCTCCCTCTCAGTTTTACAGGTGTTTCCTGATTCTGTTTCACTGCGATCGCTGGTCATCGGAGAAAGGCGACACCTCGGTGCCGTCCAAGACTACGGTAATCCACCTTAACCGGCGCGTCTACAGCAACACGGTGGCCTGCACCGCCCAGATCTCCACCGAAGCTCTCAACCAGTGCTACAGCACCGCAGACACCAAGCACACAATCCCTCCAGAGGTCACCCCCTGAACATGAGCATTAATCAGACAGGAATCACCGCCATCACAATGAAGCACGAATAACCCAGAATGTGAACTCCGGTGGACTGTGGACAAGAGCTTTCAGAAAGTAGATGTGCTTTTTCGTGTTATGTGTAAACTTGTATTTGTAGACCATAAATGTGCCCTTTTAAACCTTTTTTTCTTTTACTATACATAACACAAAAGTGCTAAACGACCACAGAAATGCATGTAAAGTATGCAAATGCACACATACATGTACACCCATGTGTGATGCAACCAGACATGTTGGTATCAATCAGTTTTATCATCCACCACGCACCTTCTCCTGTTCAGTACATGCAAAAAAAAAGGTAAGAACTTCATTCAAACTTATTTCTAAGTTTTTGCATCTATTAAAAATATGTATTTTTTAATAAAGGGCACCGTCACTGTGGTGGGTTCAAGGTTTTAGTCTGTTTCCGAACTGATGTGTATGCATTACATTCATTTCAGTATATATTATATATATATATTTCAGTATATTACATATTCTTAGTTTTCATCCTACAGTTTAAAAAGGCCAAATTTATTTTTTGAACTACAGGATCTTTTTTTAAATTTACATTTTAAACAAAGAGTAAAAAAAAACCCAGTAAAACAGCGCCTGTTCCTTGCTGCTTTTCAGTCGCTGTGTCACTGTAAATGGGGAGGTCACTGCGCAGACTTGTGATTTGATCAGCAAGGATCATTTAAAGCATCATTTAACTCTGCTTTTCCTCTTTCCCTCCTGCTGCTTTGGCTTTAAATGTTGAAGAATTCGAAAGGTTAAGCCCCCAGAACCTTTATCATGCGTGTACTTCAGTTTTGTTCTGCATGAAGGCGTTTATTTGAATTGTGTTCGTTTTTGTGTTTGTGCTGTGCTTTCTTTGGTTATGATTTAGTTGGTCTTACAAAGTTGTTTCTTTGCAGGTGTTTTTGCAGGTATGATTTCATCTTCTTTTCAGAATAAAAGGGCCAGTGTTTCAAAATGATTATCCAGTATGGCCAGCAACAGAAAAAGGATTCCAGTCTGATGACTGATGGACATTACGGGCATATCTGGGAAACACAATGCGCAAATTTAGGGAAACTGATTACATTTAGCTGGCCTTACTTAAATGACAACTGCAAGACATAAAGCAGATATCAGTATTTTACTGCTTTTGTAGATCTAGAACTATAATGGACCAGGACCTGCTCAAGATTAAGGGAGTTATAAGTGAGGTCAGAGTGCTCAGACCTCAACCCACTGACATAGAGTTGCAGAAAATATTGATGAGTCATTTTCCTCCTCACTTTTGTGCGGTGCCATTCAGGACCTTCAGAAAATGTGTGATTGAGGTTGGTGCTTCTTCAAGAAGCTGCAAGCAAAAAAATAAGCCACAACAAAAGCTTTGCTTACTCTTTCCAGTCTGCGATGCAGCTGACTGCTCAGTGTATTCAATAAAAACAAGAAAAGCACTGTGTTATTAGTTAAGTCAAATTGTGTTTGTAATTGTGACTCGGATGAAATTAATTTTAAGAGTAGTCTGTTCAGAAATGCTGGGTATTACAAATAACATTATCGTCACCAGTTTAATTGTATTTTATTGCTGGATTCAAATGATTTAATAAAAATGTCTGCTGCTGAAAAAGGAACGTATCATGCATCGTAAATTAGGTTGGAGGATGGTGTGACATTGTGAATATTATAAAAAGCAAAAGGAACCTTTTCTTGTATTTCCTAAATGAAAGAGGTGCAAATGAGGACAAAACAGAAAATAATATGTTTTTCTTAATCACTTTTGACAAAACGCCAATGTCTAAAACCAAAAAGAATGGAAACACATCCTGTAACAGCAACAGATGGGTGACGGTTTTTTATTTTCCCCTGAAGGTCAAAATCTCAGCTGAGTGGAAAACAGTCTAATTTAAAGTAACATGACAAATATAAACAACAGAGTCCTCCAAGGAACATTGTGACATTTTAAATACAGGCAGTCATGCCTAACACTTCAGCAGGGTTTTGTTTCTCCAGTGTAAAGCTCTTTTGCCTTCCATTTAAGCTGTGTAATCAGCGACTGATTCACAGATTATCACCAAGTGCAGTCACAATGAAAACCAGCTGTAACGTGGGTCGCCCGATGCACGGCAAACCAAAGCGCAGATTCCTGGGTTGTGATGCAGCAGAGCTGCTGGATTAAGCTAAAAGAAAAGTGTAATTAGATTAAAGAGTGACCAGTTTCTCCTCTGCGCTCATGTGCAACCCTCTGCAGTCCACTGAATTTGAATTGACTTATTTTTTTTAATATGCTGTTTAGATATTTTATAGCTGATGCTTTATTTATGCTTTTGCAAGTTTTTCCCTTTGTACACCAAATATCTGCTCACTAGCGTGAATGCTACTTAGATTTTGTGTTCTTGAGTCTTTGTTGCTTTCCTGTTTCAAAAAATGTGTTGTTTTTTTTCTCTAGCAGAATCTTTTCAGACGAATCTGGAAAATGCCAGTTTGACAAGCATAATATAGTATGTTTCCCACTAAGGTGATTCTCAAAGAGCTTTTAGCTGAAAAATAGCCATATCTCAGCATGGTGTGCGGTGTTTCCTTGAGATATTTGAGGAAACTTGATAGGTGGAGGACAAAACAAGAATTGGCAGGCCTAAAAAAATACAACATCCAAAAAAGAGCTTTGAAAATCTTTCAAGAAGCCTGGACAACAATTCAATGAAGACTACTTAAAGAAATTTCAGGAAAGTTTTCCGTAGCAAGTTCAGGATGTGTGCAGCTTTTCAAGAATAAGACAACCGAACCAATTTCCCATTTTCCTAGCATCAGGTATAAGAATGCACAGTGCAACAGGACAGGAAGGTGAAGTGCATATCTTCATTCCTGTCTGTTTAAATATACTGGTTTCGAGTGTGTTGGTATTTTGCACAATCCTGCCACTTGCTGATGGTGTCACTGTGCATTCAGTGACACCATCAGCAAACAAGCGTGCGTGTGTTTGTGTGCATATATATCTGCTATAGGAGTGGGCAACAATCTGCAAAGATAACAACAAAGAAGCAGCTGAAGGGACAGACGTGCATCACATGTGCAACCACTGCATGCATGCAAGACATGCGTGAGTGTGCACTCACCTATGAAGCCAGATGATGGGGGGTTGGGTTGGATGTCCTCCTCTGTATTACCCTGAATCACGTCCCAGAGCTGCCACACATAGCTAGGGTGAAGGATGTAGAAGGGCTGGTCAGGATGCAGCTTGCGGTGCTCCATGTACGGACCGAACAGGTTGTAGTCCGGACTAGTGTACCACTGATGAGAGATAACATAGCAGACAGATTTAATCTCAAATCATGAGTCAGATAAGAATAAGACAACGTGATTTTTTTTTTTCCAATAATTAAAAATGTTTCTGATATTTAGAGGATTTTTCTACTATTCAAAACAATGAAGACTGCAGTCAATACAAAAATAGCAACAGTAGTATCGCTCACTGGGTTGAGCAGGTGGCCCAAATGCCATAAGGCTATTGCAGAGGCCTGAGTTTGAATCGACTCATGGATGTGTGTTTCCTGTCTTCTTTCCACCACCCTATCTCAAAGGCTAAAAAAGCCCCCCTTAAGCAAAAGATAAGAAGGAAAAGATGTTTAAAGATAGAGTGCAGCCCTTTGCAAACATCTGTCAGTCTCTAACGTTTGGACAAAAAACTCCTCTGAATGGATGCTGAAGTTTAGTCAAATGTATCTTCAGACTGCGAACATTGCAAAAAAACACAAAACGCCCATACAGATAAACGTCCGTCACTGCTGTTTTATGCTGTATCATGTTGAGTGGCTCTGGAATACATTTGAATTGTATTTATGCTTTCTTTCACAGTTTAGATGATTATGTTTTATTCATGTGAGGTTTGTGTTGTTACCCAGGGACATAAATAATGTATGGCTTACAGGGTATGCATTTAACAAAACAGAACTAAAGCATATTAAATGTAATTTCCTGAAATAACATCATAGCGGAGGAACAAATCGATGTAGCTGCACTAAATGCTCAGACAGGAAGTGTGTGCATGTGCAGAGCAAATCCTGGTTTAGGTGAGGACCTTTTGCAGATATAAGCCTAGTGCATACTGATAATTTCCCACCAACAAGTCAGCCTCTCAACAGAAAAGTCAGTGAGATGCTGTCTTATAGTAGCGTGGCTGTTATGCTTAAAATTTTAGAGTCATTGAAACTATGTAAGAGACTATTTCCGGTCAGGAAATTGAAGGGCTCTGGAGTCAATCAGGTGGTTTGACTGAAATTTTAAGCTGTCAAAACATCCCAGAAAATGTTAAGTGTCTTAGACGCACGGTGCAGCACAGCTGTGTAGAGAACAATACTGTGATTGAAGGCAGCAAGTGCACTGTAGGGATATATCACAGTTGGACAAATGAAATCATAAGAAAACTGATGTAATCGGTGTGCCAAGTACTCATAATGGATTCGTGGGAGTGTGCATGTCCATTTTCATCAGTTGTACCATCTCCAGTTTGACCGCAGAAATAAAGGAGAGCACGAAATCATTGTCCATAATTTGTAGTTTATCATTAAAAGCCAAATTAAATAACAGTTGTTCCACTAATTCATGAGAGCTGAATATTATGAATTAATGGCTTTTAATGTAAATCTTTGTAAGGGCTTTGAAATAAAGACCCGACTACTGGGAATGTATATTTTGAGAAACTATATAACACACAATGCACGTTACTGCATCCATGCATTGGATAATAATTAGTAACTGCACTGGCATGCTAAGTAAGCAGTTCAACTTATAATATATGTAAATATAATGCTGTTTTTTGGTATACCATCAGGGGAGCCTCCAGATTTTTTTCATAGGGGTGGCCATATGGGGGCCACTAAAATATCGGGGTGGCACACCAAAAACAGAATGTCCAGGTTTATTATGCTCTTGTGAACAGCAGGTTAGTTGAAAAATAAGGGGGGAAAGGGGAAAGAAAATAATTATATGCCTAGTTAATTTCCTGCTATATCACTGAAAATATATATCACCACTAGCACCCCTAATGAACTCACTGTAACATTCACAAAACCAGATGTAGCCCAGCTGGGCAAGGCTTGACATGTTGTGTGTTCTTCTGCATACCTTGATTATAAACAGTCTCTATTTGAAGGCATTTTCACCCAGAGAACTGCCAAACTGGATATTTGCTCTTTTCCTGACCATTCTCTGCAAACCCTAGAGATGGTTGTTGGTTGTGTCGGAAATCCCAGTAGCTCAGCAATTTCTGAAATAGTCAGACCAGACCATCTGCCACCAACAACCACATATTCAAAACCCCAGCTTTCTTCTTCATTTTTACACTAAGTTTGAACTTCAAGTAGGTCGTGTTGATCATGTCTACATGCATAAATGCACTGACCTGCTGCCATGTGATTGGCTGGTTAGATATTTGCATTGACAAGCAGTTTACTTATATCTAAGTTAAATAAAGTTAAGAAATGTAACACATTTAATCATTTGGCGAGTGTCAT